GGGGCATGGGCTTAAATCTTCATGATGTGTCTCTTTCACAGAGTGAAGTAATGTAGGGTGGACAGAGCCCTCTAAGAAAACCACGTGTTTCACATTTACTGGGAAGGAGCCGTTCCCTCTCTTGCCTTCTCAAACCCGTCCTTTGGAGGCCATTCATTTCCTATGAAAACCGGGGAGCGGCCTCTTCCTGTTAGGAGGCACCGTCCTGGAAGTTCCTTAGGTGAAGGCCTGGCCACCACGCCGTGCCCACCCACCCAGGAAGCCCTGCAAAAGGCCTGGGCAGCAGCTTCTCTTCTCCCTGGAGCTCCCTGTCCACCACGATGTCACCCACGTGTCCAGGGCCTCCCAAGCGCTTTTGCAAGTAGAAGCTCACGAGGAAACAAAAGTGGGTCGGGTGCGTGATTTAATTCAGGAACGTCCTGACGGGCTTCCTCAGAGGCGCTAAATTCCAGAGTCTTGGCTGGCATTTATCATCCTGCCGCAGATGCCTGAATGTCGTCGATCTGACCCCGTGGTGCAGCGTCTGCGTGGCACAGCCCGGCTGTGCTCTTCACAGCGCCTGGGAATGGGCTTTGCCGAAGCGTCCTGGGCCGGCGAGGTCGCAGCGACTGCTGAGCGCCCTTCAGGAAGGGGGATGCTGCCAGCTTCGTTTGTATTCTGTCTTATCTGGAGTTTTGCTCCTTAATTTTCTATTTCAGTTGAGAGTAATCCCCTTTCATGCTAGTAGCCATAATCATATTATAGGGGATTTAAAATTTGTCATTTCCCAGCAGTATTTCTAACAGTGTAAGCATTTTTTTTTTTAAATTTAATGTGAGATAGCTCTCATTTTATTTTTTCAAACACCGAGAGAGGTCAGAGTCATCCTGGTCAAGTGGACAGGTTGAAGGATGACCGCCGGGGTCCTGGACTCCGACCTGGCAGCGGTGTGAGTGGGGATGCCCGGGACGCGGCCTCGCCACAGCCTCACAGGGGTGTCCGAGCATCTGGCTTTGGTTAACGTGGGCTCCAGTGAGGTGATCCTCATTTCTTCCTCTCCTCCAACTCCTCCAGTCACATTTGGTTTCGTGTATTCTGAAATTGACTCTAGAGACAGCTGCCCGGGAGGACAGGCCAGAGGTCCAGGTCAGCTGGCCTTTTACAGATGCCCATTGTCAATCTCTTTCCTGAAGGAAGGCTAAGGGGGGAGGGGGATGTGCAGCTTTACTTCCCCCCAAACTTAGAACCGCATTTGGCCATAGTGAGCCCCTAGGTTCTGTGAACCACGGCCAACCTCAGACCACTGCGTTAAGGACCGTGGGCCCTCAGGTCCTTGAATAATCCCATTTAACTTTGCATTTCTCCATCTTCTCTTCCATTCCATCTTTCCCTCCCAAAGTATCGTGAGGGGCCTGGTGTTCATGGAGGAAGGCTCTCTATCCTGTGTTTCTTTAGGGTTTTCTCTGTTCAATATAAGACAGTTTGAGGCTCCCTACCTGTTGGTAATATGTGAGATTGCTCAACTGATGACTTGTTTGACTGCTGCATATTGGATTTATAGAGACTGCAGATACGGTAGATGGTTTTGTCACCAGACAGGCAGAGGGAGCCAGTATTTTATTTATTTTTATTTTTTGGTACTGGAGATTGAACCCAGGGATGCTTAACCACTGAGCTACATACGTCCTGAGCCATTTTTACATTTTATTGAGAGACAGGGTCTTGTTGTTTAGGGCCTTGCTAAGTTGCTGAGGCTGGCCTTGAACTTGCAATCCTCCTGCCTCAGCCTCCTGAGTCACTGGGATTATAAGGCTGCATCATTGCACCAGATAAGGAAGCAATATTTTAAAGTAGCAAGTATATAACTTTAGGTGGAGGTCTCTGGGTGAGACTAGGGCTGTTCCAGCCACACCATTAATTTTAAGGAAAAGTGAATTGGAAATTTAATGATATTTGTGTATCTATCTAGTCTTATGGATAAGTGTGTGAGTCAGCTTTGTGTTACTAAGATGAGATAACTAACTTATAAAAAGCAAGTGATTATGTTGGATCAGTTTTAAGAGGGTCTAGTTCATGATTGGATGGGACCCATTGCTTTTAGGCCTTGGCTGGTGGTGCTGGATGGCAGTGGCGTGGGCACGTGGCAGATCACTGCTCATCTCCTGGTCAAGTGGCAAAAGAAAAAGGAAGGGGCCAGGTCCCACAGTGCCCTGCAGGGGCATGCTCCCAACGACCTGATGACCTCCTGCAAGGCCCTTCCTCCTAAGAGCCCACGGCACCTCCCAGTAGTGTCACCCTGGGCACCAAGCCTTAGCGCGTGGGCATTTGGGTGACATTCAGTTTCTAAATCATGGCGACGAGTGACGTTGGGTATTCTGAGGGGTCATCTCATGGTGCTTGTCACCTTTAGGCTGCATGATTCTAACTCCATAGAAAGATCTGGAGCACAGGTGCTCACCTCTTTTGGAAGCTTATGTTTTTATTATTTTCCACTTTGGGGGTTCATTTCTCCTGGAGGTTCCAGGGCCTCATGGAGATGAGGTTTTTGGATGTAGTGAAGTTCATAAAAATTCCTGCCCGGTTGCAAATGTGCAGGGTAATGATGGAGGTGAGGGGACCCTGAGCCAGCTGGGGGCGGGGAGGGGAGGAGCCTGGGAGAACTCGGGGGCCTTCCTGGCAATGCATGCAGGTGCATTTCCCATTCCCCACAGTTTGGCCAAGTTCTAGCATCCTAACTGAGGATGCTGATTGGTCTTCTTCTTGTGGTGGTGGATTTGGTGGACACGCCTGCCTGGGCCTGAGCCTGGGAATTCAAGGCCGTAGCGATGGGGTTTCCAACCCCGACTTGATTCTTTCCTGCCCCTGCCTTCCTTTTAGACCTAACCAGTCCTGGAAATAGAGTAGGAAGGGTCAGGAGAGAATCAGATTTCACTGGTAATCGGGAGTTGGCATCAGTGGCTCTTATTTTTTTTTTTTTTAATTTGAAGGATAAACAGAGGGTTGAGTATGGGAGCTATAAACAAACAAATAAAACAGCCCAGGGTGAGCTCAGTTGTAGCAAGTGCATGCGGCATCTGTTTGGGACTAGAAGCCTTCTAGAAATACACTTCAGTTAGTGCCCATCATCCACCAACATGGATGCCATGTTATAGCTCTGGGCTTAAATGAATGCAAACTAAACCTGGATTTTTTTTAAAACAGTTAACCAAGCTGACATTAACATACATTTTCCATCTTTGGTTACTGTTCAATTATTTGAGAAAGGTCTAAGAGGCCTTATGAACATGCATACCCTGGGTTTTAAAGTTGAATGACTGTTCCACAGTAACTCTAATTAAGGGCAGGCAGTAAATGGAATCGTTCTACCAAAATGAACCAGAAAACTCTGAAGAAGTTAAAGACAGACAGAGAGGCCAGCTGGGGACTTGAGGGGCAGTTTGGGTGGGGCCCATTCTCTGGGCAGCAGGGTCCTGCGGCGGGGTCAGGGCTGCACCCTGTACTTTATCTCCCCACTTGGGCAGAAAGGGAGGTGTTGGGCCTGTGATCTGGTCCCTGCCCAGAGCCAAGTGGGAAGGAGGCCGTGTTACTGTTTTGCACACATCTGTCCTTATTTTCCCTCTTCTCTGCCTTCCCGCTGGAAGGGAAGGAAGGGATCCGAGGTGGTGCTCGGGGGGGCGGGGCTGTTTGATCCAATGCCCCAGGGTTTTCTAGGTTAACAAATTGGAGCCTCTGCTGGGCTGAGTGTGTGTGTGGGGTGCTGCAGCTGCTCTCCCTCCCTTCCTCCCTTCCCACTCCAGGGGGGAACCCAGAGGCCTGTTGCTGACGACAGGCGGCTTGGGGAGCCCAGGGACTGTGGAGAACAGCTGTGTCTTTGGGTGGAGAGAGGGTTCCAGCATATTTGGGAAGGTGTGGGATGGAAAGTGGGCACCTTGTAGTTGGCTCAGTCGGGTCCCCTGTGCCCCTGGGTGGGGACGGGTGGGGGAGGAACCCTCTGGAGACCAGCATCCAAGGAAACGGAGACCACCTCTGGCTTCTGTCCTCCTCCTCCTGGGTGGGTTGAAGAGGCCGTGGTCAGCTGCGTGGGAGCATGGGGAGCGAGGGAGCCAGGGATGAGCCCCGCAGGGACAGGAGGGCGGCCTCCTCGCTCTCTGCTGGGCTGTGCAGACACAGGGCAGGGGGTGGGACGGTTTCTGCTGGAGTTTATTGAAAAAACAGCTGCCCTCTCCATTTCCTCCCTCCCTGGCTCCCTCCCTCTGCCGCCTCCTCTCTGCGGCAGGACAGAGCCATGTGTGAGCCTTGGCAGGGGCGAAGCTGGGTAATAGGGCAACTTTTTTTTTTTGGCATAGAGCTGTTAGTTTAAAGCTGGGGAAAAAAGGGATAAATAAAACTTGATACAGTCATTCTAGAAAGGATTTGCATGGGTCCAGAAAAGGGTCAAGTTCAATGGCGGAACCCAGAAGAGACCCTGAGAAGATGAGGTCCGGGGCCGTTGTCCACCCTGGCAGACGCACGCCAGGACTCAGGGCCACCGCTCTTCCGTTGTCATCGTAACCTCTCGGACAGAACCCGCCGTTGAAAGACAGTAGACGCTGCTCCGCGGACAAGTTTATGACCCAGTTTCTGACCAAGAGCACTCGGGGGGACGGGCAGCAAGGGCGTAGAACTCAGCTCGGGGCTAATTAGAACCCAGACGCGAAGCAGCAGCTGTTCTTCGGGGTGAACTTTTGCAGGGAGGATTTCAAGAGGCTGATTCTTCTTGGAAGTCTGTTTGCAGAGCGGTTCTTTCCTGGCTGTGGCCCATCCTCCTTTGGAGGCCAAGTTTCACTCAGTGGGAGCCTGTGCCAACCCGGGCCTTGACCTTGAGGCTCTGGGGCTGCCCGCTGCGCTTGACCCTGCAGCCTGGAGGGTGTCGGGCCGAGCAGAACCGGGAGGGAGGAGGGTCAGGGAGGAGGGTCCTCTACAGGCTCCAGGGGGCTTCCCCCTTCAGTCTGGAGCTGAGGAAGAGAAGTGAAGGGCATGTTGGGGACAGAGAGAGAGAGAGGGAGTGCGTGTGTGAGTGTGTGTGAGTGTGTGTGTGTGTGTTTCTCCTGCCCATTTCCTCCCTCATAAACCCTGGGCGGGCCCCTGCCTCCCCCCAGCTTTCCCGTGAACTCCTGGACCCGCTCGCCCTCTCCTCTGCACTCTGTGAGAGCTGAGCTGGTTTCTCCTTCCCTGTAGGATGTGAGAACGTATTTTTCAGGGAAAATTGTGAGAAGCGAATTAAGAGCGATCTGGAGTTCACGCATGACACAGGCTGCAGGGTATGTGAGCAGATTCCCCTCTCCTGCCTCCCTCCCTTCCCAGTTGTTTTTCTTTCTTTTGATCCTCCCACTTTTATTTGCTTTGACAGTGGAACCTGCTCCACGGAGCTGGCTGAGCCGGGTTTTAGAAAGTCCACAGACATGGTGCAGTTGGGGTCCTGGGGAAGCTGGGGAATCAAAAGGGCCAACTTACCGTCACTTATTAATTGTTGGTTTGTGGTGAGAGTCACTTCAGTAAAGGAGCTGAGATAAACTTCCTATTGCACACTCCTATTTTGGAATGCACATCTTGTGTACCTCAAAATATATACCTATTTTTATCTTCTTGGTAGACACGTGAAATCTACGTGCAAAGAGCTCTTTAAATGGGTGAGGAAAAGAAACCCCTAATGTCCACTCTTAGAGAGAGAATCAGGTAAGTGAAAGTGTGTGAGAGATACTAAACATTGAAGCTGTTTGGGCATTGCTTTAAATTCACAATTTAATTTACATTGGAACGTGTAAAAGAAAATTCAAAGACTGCATGTGCAATAATATCCATGCAAAAAACACAGTTGAAGACATTGTACCAGGGAACAAGCACTGGTTGAATGTGCATTATGAGCCTGGGAGAGCCTTTCCTTGCTGGGTTGAGGTGGAACACACCTGTAATCCCAGTGACTCAGGAGGCTGAGGCAGGAGGATTGCAACTTCAAGGCCAGCCTCAACAAGTTAGCAAGACCGTGTCTCCAGAAGGGCTGGGGATGTGACTTGGAGGTTAAGCACCCCTGGGTTCAAACCCAGTATCCAAAAAAAAAAAAAAAATGTTTTCACTTTCACATATTTAGAACATCTAACTTTTATGAGAGCACTTTAATAAATGAGAATGAGAAGGTCTTCTCTTCCGCTGTGGCTCATAGGAATCAAGGAATTCCAAAACTTCAATAAAGTGTTTATTTTTTTTTTAAAGCATATTGGTATTTTGAGCAGTTCCGCTTCCACCAAGAGGCAGGCTGCTCCTTGCTTAAGGGGGTCTGTTCGCTCCATCCCCTGGTTTCTAAGCAGTTGGTTCCAGGTCTCTGTGCTTAGCGACCCTTTCTGGCCTCAAGGTCGCACCCTCCGGTCCCCACGTGGCCTCTGTTTTCTGCAGGAACCTTGCTCCTCTCCTGCTTTGTCTTGGCTTCTCTGTGTCCCCTTCCCACGGAGGAAGAGGAGGAGACACCCCCCAGTTACTTCCCGGAGGATGACTGACAGGGAGCAGCCAGTCACCATTAAAGTTAATAGTGCTTCTTGGGGAACCCGCTTGTGACATTAAAATTTGCAACGGGGCGTGAGCGATTTCAGTTTACCATACCAAGTTTTAATTGTTCAGAGATGTCTATAAAAATATAGTAGGGCACATTAAAATCGTTATGGGCTGATGAGGTTTTCTTGCCCAGAGCAGGTGTCCCTCGCGAGCGCTTTGCTCTTCACGGTGACGCGTGGCTGCCTGGAACGGCCAAGCTGCCCTGGCCGCGGTGCTGAGGTGCTTCCTGCTTCCCCGCGTGGTTGGTGTGTCACCCAGGTTGGTGACTTCAGCTGAGGGTCTCACCCTGCCTCTGCCTCTTCACGTGCCACCGAAGGAAAGGGAAACGGAGACTATTGGAAAGGGTCCTCCTTCCCGCCTTCCCGCCTCCTCAGTCCTAAAGGTGTATGTACTGCAAGTCAGACCCTGTGGTGGAAGTCTCTCCCTCCCGTTTGTTTCCCAGTCTCCAAAGGTTAGGGGGAAAGAAGTCTCTGAAATGCTGTGCTTTCTCCAGTGACAACATGTGTGGCACAAGGAATGCGCTAGGAGGAGAAAGATGCTCCTTAACTTACAGTGGGGCTACGTGTCGAGAAAACCCATCATCGGTTGGAACTATATTAAGTGAAAGATTCATTCCGTGCCCTGGACCCACTGCACATCACGGCTCCGCCTCAGGGCACACTGCCTGTCTCCCTCCTGATCCTGCTGTGGTCTGGGACGTGTGTCTCCCGGACCCAGGAAGCCGTCCAAGTTGTACAATCTGAAGGGCAGTTTGGGCTGGATGCACTTGGCTTTCACGTCATCTGCCAGAAGTCACAAGTGGCACCAGGAGCTCGGGGACCATGGCTCTCTGTCTCTTGCCCCTGTGCCTTACCTTATCTCTCCTCTGTATTGGCATCACCTCTCTTCCGCGACTCCGTTCCTAAATCCTCTCAAGGGCCCATGTCAGTCAGCATCTCGGATTCTGCCTCCTGTAATGCCCTTGATTTCCAGTGATGCTTTACGAGGCCCAAACCCTCCCACGTGGCCTCGCTAGCTAAGCTCCGGCCTATCAACTAGACCCTGATCTTCTTCCTTCGTGGTGGCCAGTGACTGTCCGGGCTGGATAGACACATTCTGGGTGGAACCTACTGTACTTTCCCTGGAAGGGAGTTGAAGAAGCCAATTGTTAACTGGACACGTTGCATAACTGCCACCCGCTGAAACGTATCAGAAGAAGCAGGCTGGAAAGGGAGCTCTGGAGGACGTTGTCTGTGGCCTGTAGACAGGACACGCAGTTTTGAGTGCTGGTAGGGTGTGATGCCGTCTGTCAGCCACGTCCCAAGAGCAGGAGGGACTTGAAGACCAGCAAGGCGCTTCCTTTGTGGTCACTCTTTCTCAGGAAGAAATGCAGCCTAGAGAAGCTGTGGTGGACCCAGGGACCAGAGAGGTTGCTGGAGAGGAGAGGGAGGGGCATGTTCTCAAGTCCAGCTGGTCCTGTGAGTCACTTGACATCATCTGTGACATGGGGACACCTCACGGGGTTGTCGGCAGTTTACTCTGGGCGTGATTGGGCGACCCCTGCCAGACTGCTTGTGACCTGCAGGCTGGGTGGCGACGACCGCAGAGCGGGTTCCCGCATGGACCTTGGTCTTGGCTCCCTCTGTCCTTGAACCTCTCCGAAGGAGGTAGCTGGCCTTGTTGAAGGAAGTGAGGGTGCTGTGATCTTCTCCCTAAAAACTTGGCTTGAGTCCTAGGTTCAAACTCTGCTTTGTACCCTGACCACCCGGGGACTGACTGAGGGGCCCAGCCAGGGCTGCCGGCCACCTTCACCGTGTCCACCATGATTAACAGACCAGTGGTGGATCGTAAACCCACGTCCTGGGTCCCCATCACCTCCGGCTTCCTGACACCCTACCTATGTGGTCTTATGACTTGCAAACAGCCGAGGAGATTTCTGAAGGAAGAGCCATCCCTTGTAAATGTTAGAAACACACACACATCCCAGAGGTCTGCAGGTGCTTGTGGACAGCAGGGAAGCCGAGCCCCTGCCCTGGTCACTCTTGCAGTCCCTGGCGGGCCCAGTGGACAGTTTGTTTCCTTCTGGCCTCTGGTTGGACTTGATGCTGAACAGCACGTTGCGGGTGGGGACTGGGTCGCCGTGCTGGGCCCCCGGCTGCACCGCCCCTCCTACCTGAGACCTTTGTTAACTCTGTTTCGTCTTTAAGGAAAGTCTGTGTTCATCAGGATACAGAAAGGAGGAGAGCACTATTCTGTGTCTGCCGAGCGGTTGTGGTCTCTCTGTTGATACCGTCCGTCCTCACCAGTGTCTTCACTTGCCAGTGATAAGGTCAAGCGCCGGGTTGGCAGGGCTTTCCTCCTCTGCCTAAATCCTACCCACCTCCTACCGATCAGATTTCCTAACCTGGAGCACTAAAACTTCTTTTGTGATTTTTGGGATGAATGAATATGACATAGTTTTTGTTTAGCACCTTATTTCAATCAACGGAGAGAGAGCAGGTTTACCTTTGAAAAAGAAAGATCTTACTTTTTTTTTTTTTTCTCAAATATTTTTTTTCTCCAGCACCTCAGGACGGGGCCTTGTGCAGGGCTGAGGTTCAGCAACCATGTCGTTATCCAGTGAATTAAAGGAGATGTGAAGGGCTCCCTAAACCTTGCCCCCCATTCTGTTATGCCTTTCCTATCACCGAGTGCTTGGAAAACCTCTGCTAAGGTGCACCAATCTCTGTTATTTTTTCCACAAGTGATTTGTTTTCACTTTGCCCAGATTTTCCCCCCCATCCAGTAAATGTGCCTCTGCAAAGTGTAGCTCAGAACCAAACCTTCCCACCGGCCTGTGGGGAGAGGCCCGTCCCCCCACCTCCCTTGTCCTGGCCTCCTCCCAGGGTCACCAGACTGCACGCCCACCCATGAACTACACTTGTGCCCCCGAAGGCTACGTGTACGGGCTGCCATGCACCTGAGGTGGAGCGCATTGCAAGGTGACTCCCGGAGAGGCCTCCTTTCTTTGACACCAGTCATTAAGAGATTAGGTTTCTTGAAATATCAGCATTTGTTGAAGCCCTGCCTGAGTAGAGATCTGTAGCCTCAAGGAGGAGGGAATTTCTCAATAGATTTTCACCACTAAAGAGATGCTGAGCTTTAAAAATAAGCATCCAGTGGTGTAACACTCTTCTATCTGCTGAAGGGCATGTGCTTTTCAAAAAGACGCGGTCAAGGGCACCTGGAGATTTTTCCAAGGCGGGTGGAAAGCGGGAGAGGATTTCTTGTTTCTGACCCTAGCTGGTGACCATCACAGGATATTATCTGAATATCCCAATTATTATCCTGTGTTAACCTTTTATCTGGAAGGGATTGCTCATTATTCAAGATTTACACTTTTTTTTAAAGTCAATGTTTATAGGAGAAGAGCTCAAAGCCTTCTTCATGTATTAAGTGGTTCTCTGGCCTGTTGTTAACAACAAGGAATGCTAGATTGTACAAATGATGGCCCGTGTTACCCAGGCGCCCGCTCACGTCAGAAGGAGAGACATCAGGGTGAAGATTCAAACTCGTGGCAACATCTAGAAGCAGATGGGGTAAAAGTAACATTACTTGGAAGGAGGAGGAATGGGACCACTGATGTCATTCCGAGGTCCTGGCCACTACTGTGAGACAGTTCAACCTGAAACGGGATTAGAGAGGGAGCAAGCCTGGGGACCACGATCCAACTTTGGGGCCCAAAGTAGTTGAGGGTTCTCGCCTGGTTGATATCTCGCCTGGGAATCGCTCTCGGAGGGTCAAGCGGTATTTCCCATCAGCGTCTTGACATGTCTGGCCAGCCGAGCAGACGTGTCTGTGCAGGGCCGGCCTGTGCCGTGAACAGGGCTGGGTCTGGCTGGGTATCCTTGTAATTAAGAACAGTCCACCCTCCCTCTTCATTTTACCAAAATAAATAAATACCCTAAGTGGAATAAAGTCGTGATTAAACAAAGAAAAACACGGATCTCTGGTGCAAGCCCGGTGATGTTACATCCTGTCAGTATGTGGATTTCACGGGAGTTTCTCCCTCTGTGGGATCCGACACTCATTTGAAGGAACTTTGGCAAGAGAACATTAGCTCCTCAGACCTATAAAGGGTATTTTGAGCTGGAATATGAAAAGCACATGTAATAATTAATATAGCTGCAGCTGCAAGTGCCTGAGGACAGTAGTTGCTACATCTATATTGCATGTAAACAAAGTATTAGCCAAAATTACTTTCAGAGGGCCCTAATTACATCTGATTTAATTTAATTTAGTCTGATTTAATGATACCTTTTATATGAATTTGCTTCATGGTTACTCTGCTGATTGCAATTTCCTTTTCCTGGGAAGAATGTGTAAGACGGAGATGGGATCATTGCAAACTCTTTCTGACCATTGATTTTTGGGGACTGTACTAGTGCACAGATCCGTCACAAGAACCTCACCGTATCCACAGGCAAGGTACCTGTTCTGTTTTCCCCCCATCTTAGATTCGCTTGTCCTAGAGCTTCAGGCTAATGCAGTCTCCTAATAAGTCCTCTTTTATTTAAGGCTTATTTCACTCATCAGCTTAGATCCAAGGAGTGGTTTTCCCAGTATGTTCAATGGAGGTTACTTGATAACGGATTGGGAAGGGGAAGAAATGAGCGGCCTGGTTTCAAAGAAGGGAAAAATAAAAAGGTAAAATGAATAAATTATTAAAGTAGCTGTGAGCAAATGCTTGTTTTTGATCTGTTTAATTGAAGTTTTAATTGAGATCATCATTGAGTCACAGTTGTAAGAAACACTATAGCCTGTACCCAGTTCCCTTTCTGGGGACATTTTGCAAAACTGTCCTACAATATTATAACCAGGATGTCGACACTGATGAACCTATCAGTCTCATTCCATTTCTAGTTTTACCTGTCCTCGTGTGTGTGCACTTTGGGTTCCATATAATCTTACCATGTATGTCTGTATTTTTATCACCCCGGCGAAGGACGGTCAAGGTGCTGGGCTGCTCCAACTCCCAAGCACCTCCTTTGCTGCCTCTGCCTACTCTCTCCTACTTTCTTCCCTGAAAGCACCAATTGGTTCTCCATTGCTAAAAAAATCTTTATAGACATAAATGGAATCATACAGTTTGTAACCTGTTGGGGTTGGCTTTTAAAAATCTCCCTCATGCTCTCGAGACTCACACCCATTGTCGATTGCCTCAATAGTTCATCTCTTTTTATCGTGAAACGGTGCTCCATGATCTGTTTAGCCGCTCACCTGTCGAAGGCTATCTGGACTGTTTTCAGATCTTGGTTATGATGAATGAAGCTGCAGTGAACATTTGCATACAGGTTTTGTGTGAACATAAGTTTTCATTTCTCTGGGATAAATGCCCAAGAGTGAAATTGCTGGATCAAATGGTAATTGCATGTTTAGTTTTATAAGAAACTGCCAAACCATTTCCCAGAGTGGCTGTATCATTTTACCTTCCCACCAGCAATACATGCGTGATCCTGTTTCTCTGCAGCATCACCAGCATTTGGTGTTCTCACCGTTTTTGATTTTCAGCATCCTGACAGATGTGAAGCGGTGTCTCATTGTAGACTTAATTTGCCTTTCCCAGAAAGCTCGCGGTGGGGGAACATCTTGTCATGGGCTTACCTGCCACCTTCAAGTCCCCTTTGGTGAACTCATTCAAGTCTTTTTTTCCCCCACTTCCTAACTGAAAATAAAAATCTGTTTAAGAGACAGACTATAGGAAGCGTGACCCCAAGCAGCTATCAAGAACATTGAAGAAAAATATCTCAAGTTGCATCCCAGTTGGTTTGAGAGATAATATCCGATGAATAAACTGAGTCTCCCGATGGATGGAGACCAGTTCTCAAGGAATGGGTGAAAAGGAGCCTGTGACCTCTTGAGGTCCCCACAGCTCTCTTCTCAATAGCATGGGCCTCCTGTTCCCGGCCCCGCCCCAGGTTTGGGTGCATCTGGGCTTCCCTTCCATCCTAGCCACGGCAGAGACAGATGGATCCCTCTGCTGGATCAACTCTGGAGTGTGTCGACCGATTCCTCAAATGGGTCCTGTGGCCTGAAGTCTGTTATTCTGTACAACTCGGGGTTTGTGCATCTGTCCGTGCAGTTTTGTAGCGTTGGATTCTGTCACTCTAAGAGTGACACAACCTGTCAGAGTTCTCCTGGCGGAAGGGTAAGAGAGCGCGGCAAGCCTTTCGACTGCATTGGAAATGGATCTACCCCAGGTGGACACACAGAGGTCACCTGAACCTTGCCCTGGACAGTGCATTTCTGACCAAATAATGGACTAGAAGAAAGCCCATGGCTCTCTTAAAGGCAAAGGACCTGAATTTGGCCCTTGTTCTGCCCTTACCAATTTGGTGACATGGGGCAGATCACGTAACCTCTCTGAGCCTTCACTCAGTTATTTGTGAATGAGGCCTTAATTCACATACTACCTTGCACAAGGGGTTATTGCAGGGATTAAATGGGATAAAGCAATTACTGTTTGATTAGAGTGACTCTCTCTCTCTCTCTCTTTTTGTTTTTGGTTTGGTAAGTAAGAAACTGCAGGAGGAATGAGTCCACTGGAAGTCACTGCACTTCAGTTAGGCTGTAGGGTGGCCCCTGGGCAGCAGAGATTGAAGAGTTAAAACTCAGTTGCTTTGAGAGTCTTCTGATCTCCCCCAGTTGAATTCCAGTCTTCAAGATGGGTGATGAATCAACTTGCCAGTCAGAGCTCACCTGGGGTCAGAGTCTTCCCACTCCTGTCTTTAATCACTAGCTAGATGAGCCGCATGCTGTGGTGCAGAAGCCGGATGGATCTACATCTGTGCAAGGCCCGCTAAGAACCGCGAGTGACCTTGGACCCAAGATCGGACCCCTCTCTCTACTGGTGTTACACATCCAAATGAAATTGTTCATTTACCACCCACACCCAGACAATTACTTGGACGCCTACCTTTACATACAGGAGCTAGAGGTTTCCCTGTGTGGACCCTGAGAAGTTCACACACAAGGTTTCTGAGGGGCTTCTCTGCGGTGGAAGCATTTTTGTTCTAGAACCTGTTATGGAGGCAACCAGTTCAGGTTTGGGTGAAACCAAAAGCCAGTTTGCACACATGGACTTCTGCAACCCAGAGCTTGGTTTGGAAATGTGTGTCCGTGATTGAGGAAATGTTTATTAGGTCTGAAGGTGGCCGTGAACTTTGGATGAAGTGCCCATGCTTTGGAAATCATGGGCATTTGTGGACAGGGACTGGACTTGTGTC